TTCATCTCCTGGAGCCTTGTCAACATCCATGTCAGTCGCGACAGAAGTAGGGCTGGAAAGGTACACGATCCATTCGGTCAGAACAGAAGAATCAGTCGGCGGAGATCAGCACAGGAAAGATGCTCACCCCGAGGCAACAGGGACGTCCATCTTGATCCTCGGCAGAGTCTTCCGAGCCTTTGGAGGAGCAACCTTGGGCTGCTTGGCGACTTTCTCTATTGGCTTCGGAGTCGACGTCCGAGCGCGCTTCTGCGTTTGGGAGCTTAGGGCCACGTTCTTTTCGCGCCCGCCCGTCGGGTGGTGGTGTTGCTTGGATCGGTGTTCAGAGTGAGGCGGCGAGTCGACCGCCTCCTCGTCGTCTGACTCCTCGCTTTCCTCCTCGTCTTCCTCATCCGAAGATTCCCATTCACCGCTCTCCTCCGTACTGGCCTCTCTCTCCTGGCCTTGCTCCAGAACTTGTTCGCCATTGGGCATCGAATACATGTCAGTAAAAACCTACAAGACAAGAAGTCGAGTAAAAGTCAGTCGGACTCAAGAACAGTCGGAATGAGTATTCAAAAACAGTCGGAATGGAGGACACACCTTGTCAGGCTGATTGTCATCACTGAAGGGGACGACTCTCCCGGCTCCTCTGGGGTTGTCCTTGTTGCCTATAATGCTCTTCAACCACATGGCCACTGTCTTGGCCGGTACTTCTTCTGGGTGAACCCGAGCAGTGTCGTCGGCCCCAGAGTACATCCACATAGGATGGTCACGGGCCTGAAGAGGCTTGATGCGTCGACTGAGGAATACTTCCAGCAGGTCCATGCAAGTGACGCCCTGATTGATCAGTTGGACCATCCTCTCAACTAGCATGTTCGTCTCCACCCTCTCAGCAGCAGTCACTTTCAGCGAGGAAGGAGTCTGAACACGGTCAAAGGTGAAGTGGGGAAGTTCGGCCGACTGACCTGGAGTTACGAAGTCCTGGCAGTAGAACCAGGTCGACTGCCAGCCCCTAACCGATTCAGGAAGGGTCATGGAAGGAAAAGAGCTCCTCTGCCTCTTCTGGATACCCAAACCCCCACACATCTGAATGGCATGTGTTTTCTCGTCACTCGTGTTTTCTTTCTTCACTGACTGAGAACGGGTGGTGAAAATATGCTTGAAAAGACCCCAGTGCGGTCGACACCCCAGAAAGTTTTCGCACATAGACACGAATGCAGCAAGGTACGTGATGGTATTGGGAGAAAAGTGATGGAGTTGGGTACCGAAGAAGTTCAAAAAACCCCGGAAGAAGGGGTGTGGAGGAAGTGAGAAGCCCCGATCGACGTGGGTGGCGCGCAGTACACACTCACCCGGTAGAGGCTGCGGCTCCGTCCCCCCCCTCAGGCAGCCTCGCTGCACCCTTGGCGATCAGCCCGGACTCCACTAGCTCGTCCAGATCTTCCTGCCGGAGCGAAGATCGGATCCAATTGCCTTGGGTCCAACCTGGCGGCAACGCCGAGCTCGACGACGACCCGCGATTCTGCTTCTTGCCCTTCGCCGTCCCCGTCGCCTTCTTCGCGCGTTCCAGTGCCGTCGTCTTGTCCTTCACCATGGTGGCGGAGCGACGGCGTTGAGAGCGGAGGAGCCGAATGCGGTGGAGAAGCAGAGGAAGAAGGGGGAAAACAGAGGCGTACAGTGCAGGCGCCTCGGCCCCGTCGCCTTATAAAGGGCCGCTTCCGAGTGGCTGACGCGTGGGCCCAGGCGATCCTGTCAAATCCCGCAACAGTCTCTCGCGGCGTATGTGGCGAAAAAGGTGGTGCGGAGATCTAGGCGCTCCCGTTTATCCACCCCGCTTACTTCGGCACGCGCCGTCCCGCGCGCTTCCCCGAAATTTTGAATCCCGCGGAATCCGGGATACACTGCAATCAATCGCGCCGAAGATTCTGCGCCCCGAAACAACACTCGACAGATAGTGTAACAAATTCACTCGGCAACTTTCTGAATCGATCAAGGCGACTGAATCGAAGCTGAAGTTCCAACGTGAGTCTTCCATCCTGTGTAAAAACACTCGTGAGGCGCAAGGCTCGAACCAAGATCAAATTCAACCTTCTTTCCGCTCGAACCTTAATCCATTCGGGGGCTAATGATGAGGATACAGACCTAGCGTAGGGTCATAGGCCTGACCTATACGCTCTACCCAAGGTCACTACCCTAGAAGCAAAGAAATCCAAGAGACAACAAGAAGTACCCAAGGAAGGCGTCGAGTGCAATCCACTCGACCGACCATATCACTCGGGTATCCCTCTTACCTGAGGTCACTCGGCCATACAAGGAACCACTCGACCTATTGAAGACCAGGAGTCACTCGGCACTGAAACGGTCAGGCGTTCACTCCATAGTCTTTAAGATCATTAATATCATGGCTAGCGTTATCAGTAACGCCCTGTCTTTATGTACATTGAACCCCTTGTAATGGGGGATGGCTGGGGTCTTGGCACACTCTATATAAGCCACCCCCTCCTCTGGCACAAGGGTTCACACTCCCTGTAACACCACACGCATATAATCCAGTCGACCGCCTCTGGGCATCGAGACGTAGGGCTTTTAATTCCACCGTGAAGGGTCTGAACTCGTAAATCCTGTGTGTACAACTCCACCATACCTGAGATCTTGCCTCTCCATACCTACCCCCCTTTCTACTGTCAATCTTAGGACCATGACAGGACCCATATCCTCTTTTGAGGCTAGGGTGCTGTGGAGCTTTGTCCTGGAGGCCCTCGAGATTGAGTGGGAGGCGTCGAAACTTGCCAGCTTCCTCCAGGCCAGACGCCTCTTATGGCTGATCTTTGATGCGCTTTCTTGGACACTATGAACGATGTGTAATAAGATGGTGTTCTTCAAACATTGCCAACCGCTGGCTATACAATGGGATCAGGCGCGCCTTGGGTGGATGCTGGATGAATGACATACTACGGCTTGTCGACCAACTTCACCAGTGCCCGCTTGATCTGTCGACCACTTGGTGGTCTTGTGTATGCTTTCTCTTATGTTTTTATTTTGAGATTGCCTGTGTGTGGCCCCAGCAGACTATGTATGTTGGTACCGCCGTTTCTCCATGTTGGTAAGCTGCCAACAAAGCAGGACTATCGGTTGCTTTATTTATAAAGCGGGACGAACGCTGTTTCGAGTAAATGATATACCCATTCTATGAGAAATAAAGTCTACTGCCCGTCAAAAAAAAAAATTTGTCCTTCCGGATCGCTCCATCGATCCATTCCTGCATGCACGCGTGGATACATTTTTGTTGAGAACCCTCCAAATGTGCACGTGGATAAGGCGGCCAATAAGCTAATTAACCATCCCGTTCGGACGTACGCGGCGCACACATGTGTGTTGGTTTACGAAAATTCATACACCTAACCACACGTCTATTAATTTGTAACGTTTACTAGTTTACTAATTTACGAAAGCACACGTACAAAAACTTAGCATATTTGTAAAGGTTTTTAATACTCCACTTTAGCTTTTTTTTGACGCGAATCAAGGATTTTATTGCTTGATAGAAATTCGGTTACAATCAGCTAGGAAGCTGCTAACTAAGAAGGGTGGACAAGAGTCCAGCCAAACATCTGATATAGAGATGGTAGTTGCATGTTTAGCACATAGATCAGCCGAACTGTTGGCTTCTCTTGCGACATGCTGGATCGAGAAGGAAACAAAGTTTGCAGCTCTTTCCTCGATTTCATCGAAGATAGGCTTCACAATCGATCTTGGACTGTGATGCGAGTTCCAGAGGTTCGCTACCTCCAAGCAATCCACCTCCACTGCCACGTGCGAGAAGCCCCTCAGTTGGGCAAATATCACTCCCTCTCGCAGGGCTAGGGCTTCGGCAATGAAAGGGTCGGTTACACCAGGGAGAGGCTTGCTCCATGCACCAGTGAAAGAGAGATGTGAGCGAGCAACTCCTCCCATGCCTCCAACCTGAAGCTGAGTGTCGAGGGCGCCGTCTGTGTTGATTTTGATCCATCCAGGCTGCGGTGGATTCCAATTCTAGAGACTCCCGCTGCGTCGCTGTGTTGGAGGAAGATCGAGTATGGCTAGGTCATCACGTGCCCATTTTATTGCTTGGGCTGGATCGTACCCTTCCTCATCATGCGTCCAGCGATTCCGCGAGGTCCAGATCGAGTGCATGGTTGTAATTATCTTGCATCTGTCTGGGTCTGAGAATCTAGTGTCGAGCACCAAATCTCGCGCCCATGGATCATGGTGTAGCCGTGGAAGCTTTAGTCCAATGACTTCCTTAGCTGCAACCCGAAAAGCTTGTGCATGCGTGCAATGTATGAGTGCGTGCATGAGGTCTTCATCCATTGTCTTGCACAGATCGCACCTAGAGCTGGTGCGAATATGGTGGTATTGCATGTTGGCATAGTTAGGGAGAATCCCTCTGAGAACTCGCCACATGAATACCTGAACTCTTGGGGTCACTTTGAGTTTCCATAGAGTAGTCCACAACTGTTTTTGCGAAGCTGATGTTCCCACTACCGTCCCTTCCTCTAGAGCTCGACCCTCGTTTTGAGTCACAAGAGCAAAAAAATAAACATTTGAGCGGGCTTTTCCGTATAGATAGTACTACATCGTTGGGAGCGATAATTAAATTCTTAATATTTTCAATGAATTATAATTATCCGATTAACCGAGACGCCGGCTAGGTCGGGCCGATCGATCGCATGGATGTGGTGGAAAAGAAAAAAAAGCTCCAGTTATCTACCCACACGATAAAAAATAGATGAGGCTCCCTTCAAAAAAAAAAAAAAGATTAGGCGGACGCGGCGCGCGCAGTGGATAAGCCGGCGGGACTAACCAACCACCCTACACGCGAATTTGTTAGCTGCATGCGTGCGTGCGTGGGTGCGTGCTTATCTTATTATCTTTGATCTACCTCCACACACTATAAATACACGGCGAGTAGCGCCTCCCATTCACATCCGCTTCACTCCTCTCCTCTCCTCTCTATCTATACTCGAGCGCTTCTTGCCATGGAGCGTGTGTCGTTGCTCCCGCTTGTGCTGCTGCTTGCCGCGGCCGCCGCCGGCGGCGTGAGCGGCACGGAGGTCGCGTACAATGACCGGGCGCTGGTCATCGACGGCGAGCGCCGCATCGTCATCTCCGGCTCCATCCACTACCCCAGGAGCACGCCGGAGGTACGCTCCTGATCGATCGACATCTACCGAGGTAATTTCCATGAATGAATGAATTTATACGTGTGTCTTCATCGATCGTTGCGTGCGTGCAGATGTGGCCGGATCTGATCAGGAAGGCCAAGGAGGGCGGGCTCGACGCCATCGAGACGTACGTGTTCTGGAACGGCCACGAGCCGCGGCGCCGGGAGTACAACTTCGAGGGGAGCTACGACATCGTGCGCTTCTTCAAGGAGATCCAGGACGCCGGCATGTACGCCATCCTCCGCATCGGCCCCTACATCTGCGGCGAGTGGAACTACGGCGGCCTGCCGGCATGGCTGCGCGAGATCTCCGGCATGCAGTTCAGGATGCACAACCACCCCTTCGAGGTATACGCGTGCTGAAATGTTCTGAATAAACTAATTATTTTTTGACGTGAAATGAGAAGAGAGAGTTCAGGATAATTAACCATGATATGTAAACAAACAAATAAATGCAGCGAGAAATGGAGACCTTCACGACCCTCATCGTGGACAAGCTCAAGGAGGCCAAGATGTTCGCCGGCCAGGGAGGCCCCATCATCCTCTCCCAGGTAACTCATCTTCCATCAAGTATATATATACAGTTTACATATACTAGCACTAATAAGCTAGATTACCATGCATGCACGTACGTGTACGTAGATCGAGAACGAGTACGGCAACATCATGGGCAAGCTCAACAACAACGAGTCGGCGTCCGAGTACATCCACTGGTGCGCCGCCATGGCCAACAAGCAGAACGTCGGCGTGCCGTGGATCATGTGCCAGCAGGACGACGACGTCCCGCCCAACGTGGTCAGTTCACTTTTATTTGATTTCTTTTTTCTTGGAAAACTCTTAAATTATTTATTTATAGCACGTGTTTTGGTTTCAAACTATATATATTAATGAATTCTTTCAGATCAACACCTGCAACGGGTTCTACTGCCACGACTGGTTCCCCAAGAGAACGGACATCCCCAAGATCTGGACTGAGAACTGGACTGGCTGGTACGTCCATTCTTGGTCCATTATTAATTTTTTCATCCGTTTTTTTCTTATGAAATCTACAAGAAATTAGTTAGCACTTACAACTATGTTGAATTTCAAACTCATTACATTGTACCTTAATAATCAAATAATTAGGTTCAAAGCATGGGACAAGCCTGATTTCCACCGGTCCGCCGAGGACATCGCCTTCTCGGTCGCCATGTTCTTCCAGAAGCGCGGATCGCTCCAGAACTACTACATGGTGATTCATTTATATATAACTAATCCATGGGTTACTAGTTTTCCCCCAATTAATCCATGAGTTTTACATTATTTGACATGTTGATCGTCAATGTGTATATGATCAGTACCATGGTGGCACAAACTTTGGCCGCACCTCAGGCGGCCCCTACATCACAACCAGCTATGACTACGACGCCCCTCTTGATGAATATGGTGTGTGAACGATCACTTGTTCTTTTTTCATTGCATTGCTGCAAGGTTATTCTGCAATGTGTAAATAATTAATAATCTCTGTTCTTGGCGCATCCAATTAGTTAATCTCGCCTGTCACCAATGACGATCTTTCAGGTAACATCAGGCAGCCAAAATATGGGCACCTCAAGGACCTCCACAATGTCCTGAAATCCATGGAGAAGATCTTGCTCCATGGCGACTACAAGGACACCAACATCAGCAGCAGCAATGTCACTGTAACTAATATTGACATACATATACAAAAAAAAAAATCCTATTGGTGTTTTTAATGGTATTCACAACAAAATCAATTCTTTTGGTTCATCAATATGAACACATAGGTGACCAAGTACACGCTGGACAACTCCTCCGCCTGCTTCATCAGCAACAAGTTCGACGACAAGGAGGTCAACGTGACCCTCGACGGCGGAGCCACCCACGTCGTGCCCGCGTGGTCCGTGAGCATCCTGCCGGACTGCAAGACCGTCGCGTACAACAGCGCCAAGATCAAGACGCAGACGTTGGTGATGGTGAAGAGGCCGGAGGTGGAAACGGTGAGGGAGGGCCTGGCCTGGTCGTGGATGCCCGAGAACCTCCAGCCTTTCATGACTGACGAGAAGGGCAACTTCAGGAAGAACGAGCTGCTCGAGCAGATCGCCACGTCCGGCGACCAGAGCGACTACCTATGGTACAGGACAAGGTAATCAAGCACATAAATTACGTCTGAACCCATCATGTGTTTGCATTGTTGCCAGATTTTTATGTACATTCGTCTCTGATGACGCAGATTTTTTTTACTGTAAACACTACTGCAAATTAATGTATTCATAAGTTTGAAAAATATAAACTAGTTTCTGATGCTCAAAATGCGCAGCTTTGAGCATAAGGGGGAAGCGACCTACAAGTTGCACGTCAACACCACAGGGCATGAGCTTTACGCTTTCGTCAACGGCAAGCTTGTTGGTGAGTAACACAAAATATATATGTTTTCTTCTCTCCTTTTCACTTTGATTAATATTTGTTGTGGATGCTGGCACCCTGATCAATTTGATGAAGCTAGCTATTAACTGATTTGATTAACTTGCAGGGAAGCAGCACTCTCCTAATGGTGGATTCGTCTTCCAGATGGAGACGCCCGTGAAGCTCCACTCGGGGAAGAACTACATCTCTCTCCTCAGCTGCACCATCGGCCTCAAGAACTACGGCGCGCTGTTTGAGATGATGCCCGCCGGTATCGTGGGAGGCCCGGTGAAGCTTGTCGACACGGTCACCAACACCACCGCCTACGACCTCTCCAACAGCTCCTGGTCCTACAAGGCCGGCCTCGCCGGCGAGTACAGGGAGACCCACCTCGACAAGGCCGACGACCGCAGCCAATGGAGCGGAGGCCTCAACGGCACCATCCCGGTGCACCGCCCATTCACCTGGTACAAGGCCACGTTCGAGGCGCCCGCCGGCAAGGAGCCCGTCGTGGCGGACCTGCTCGGGCTCGGCAAGGGCGTGGTGTGGGTTAACGGCAACAACCTGGGCCGCTACTGGCCGTCCTACGTCGCCGCGGACATGGGCGGCTGCAAGCAGTGCGACTACCGCGGCACCTTCAAGGCGGAGGGCGACGGGCTCAAGTGCCTCACCGGCTGCAACGAGCCGTCCCAGCGCTTCTACCACGTGCCGCGGTCGTTCCTCAGGGCCGGCGAGCCCAACACGATGGTGCTGTTTGAGGAGGCCGGCGGCGACCCGACGAGGGTGAACTTCCACACGGTGGCCGTAGGCGCGGCGTGCGCGGAGGCCGCTGAGGTGGGTGACGAGGTGGCGCTGGCGTGCAGCCACGGCAGGACCATCTCCAGCGTCGACGTGGCCAGCCTCGGCGTTGCTCGCGGCAAGTGCGGCGCCTACGAGGGTGGCTGCGAGTCCAAGGCGGCGCTGGCGGCATTCACGGCGGCGTGCGTCGGCAAGGAGTCGTGCGCGGTGCGGCACACGGAGGACTTCCGCGCTGGGTCCGGGTGTGACTCGGGCGTGCTCACCGTGCAGGCCACCTGCTGATTCAAAATGAATGAATAAAATTAGTTAGTGTCTTTTAGGCTAGGCCAGAACAAATGCATCGTCCAATTCATGTGTTTTTCGATGGATCAAGGTTAAATCTAGAATTTGTTGCCATGATTTTGGCTGCTCAGTTTGCCATGGTACGGTGAAGATTTTCTGTACGAGAAACAAACGCACGATATATACTCAGGCAATTTTTATTTCTTATTAATTATTATACATCCGGCCGGTCTAAATAGCTTCACAAATTAAATATCACATTACACATGTGGTAAGCAATACAAACAATTTGACTTCACAAATTAAATTTTAATTTAGTAAAAGGTGTGTGTGTGTGTGTGTGTGTGTGTGTGTGTGTGTTTTACATTTTTAAGAAACAACGTGGGAATATTTATGTTGTGCTTTTAAAAACCAAGCATCATCCGCTATAGTTGAAATAGTGTTTTTTAGATAATTGTTGTTTCATTTTTTTTTGGCAGAAACAAATACAGTTGTCATTAATGTTCTCTCATGTCTCATTGTCTTACTAATAAAAGTTTGTATATCAAACTTCTGGTACATCTAAATAATAAGTGTATTTTCCATTGCTTTACCAAAAAGGTTATATGTTACTTTATTACTACTGTTTATTGCAGAAACTGCCTTATTAACTAGCATAGAGGCCATCGCAGATGTGAGCACGAGTGTTTGAGAAATCAAATTTCAAGTTTCATATGTACTCATCATGTAGTTTGAAAAAAAATAAGGTTATACCATAACAAATATTATTTAGTTAACGTATGTGTGGTAAACTTCTTTAACTAAATCTTATTGGAGCCAAATGATTATTATGACATTTCAAAAAACACGATGCAATTCCTGCAAAAAGAACACCATGTAAATTAATGATCAAATGTGGCGTAAGATGGTCATCAGCATACTTCAAAGTATCATGATAAGTCTTCATAACTGCATATAAGCACCATCGGCTATCGTTGGATCTTAATTAGTAGGTGGAGTAAACATAATATTGCATATTGTTAGCAACGGAGATATGAGTACAGAACAGAACACATAAGCTATTGTTAGCAGCAGATTGATCAAATGTATTCAGTACTTGTAAGTTCTATATACTCCTACTCCAGAGTCATAGCAGACCACCCTCGCAAAAAGAAAAGAAAAAGGAAAAAAATAGTCATACCAGACCAGGAGCATCTTGAATTTTAGATTCATACCTAAAATTGAAGTTGAACGGTGTCCAAGAAAGCCGCATCCGTGTTGCTCCCAGGGGCGGCTCGGGCGAACCCTAGCGCCGCCTCCACCACCCCCTACTGCAGCCTCTTCCTCGCCGCTGCTGGGCAACGTCGGCGGGCGAAGCTCGCGCGGTGGCGGGCCCTCTCCTCTTGTGCGGCAGGACCCACTTCTGGCGCGGAGCGGCGGCCCTGGATGAGGCACCAGGCTGGCAGCGGGTGGACGCCGAGCCGGCGGCCCAGAGACCTAGTGGGATGGGCCGGCTTCTGTGGTTGTAGGGGCAGCATATAGTCAATTTTGGCGGCGCTCGGCGACGGTATGGCCATGGCTCGGATCTTGCATGGTGGCCATGGACTGCACGACTAGGTGGATGTCTGGGGGTGTCGGAGCGGCTCCGGAGCTGGCAGCGCTGCTTGCTGGAGAGGATGGCCGCGCGTGGCCGTTGGGTCGTCCTTGTCTAGCCTGGCCAGATCTGGCCGCGTAGGCTGCAGGTGGCGTCGGGGCTCCCGTCGCTGTTGCATCGGTGTTGTACGCTGGGGCGGCGGCCCCAGGCTGCGGTGGGACTCGCCCTCTTCTTCCCAAGGCGAACGAGGGATGAGGAGGCTAGACGGGCGCCACGGCTGTGTGTTGTGGTATCTTGGCAGCGGTGCTGCACACCCTGTCCGAGCAGCAGCAGGGTTGTGGCGGGTGGATGCAGGCCCTAGTCTTCCTCGACCAGGGGATGTGGTGGGCACGCCGGTTTTCACGCCGCGGTGGCATCTGGCTCCCCCCTCTTCATGGTGATGGCCCAAGGTGGCAGCTTTGCCCCCCCCCCTCTAGTTTCCCGCGCTCCAGAAACTGATGGACACAGCTAAGGAGAAATCTGGCGCTGCCACGGCTGTGGAAAACGGCGACGCTTGTAGGCGCCGTCTCCTCCCTGGGGGCGTTGTCATGACCTTCTCCATCCTTTGTTCTAGCACCGGGGGAAACCCTAGGCTCGGTTCGCCGGGCCAGGCAGCGGCAACGTCTCGGCACGTCCCCTTCTTGGAGGTGCTGCCTAGGTGCTCGGGGTGCGTCCGGAGGAGCAGCTGGTGGGCTGCCTCGCTCACCTCGACGGCGAGTCTTGGGGTGCCAAGTTGTCATGTATGGGTTGTCGCTGTGGGCAAGAGCATCCGGGGCGTATGTACTCCATCATAGACACCTCTTCCACGGCGTCTTCTTCGGGTCGGGCTAGCTCCCGCTATCCGCTTGCCGATCCTCAGGTACCAAGATTGGAAAGTGTGTTGATCTAATTTGGTTAGGTGTTTTTGTCGTGTTTTGAGGTGTTTGATATAGGGGGGACGCGGCCTGTGTGTTCTGTGTCCGTCCTGTTCGCCATTGTTTGGCTTCAGTGTAGCGAAGGCGGGTTAGTTGTCGGTGTTGTCACGGTGAATGTGGGTGCTAACCTCAAGGGGTAGCATGTTGCCGAAAGGCGTTGTATCAGCCATCCTGGATCTTCTTCTTTAATATATAGTACGCCAACCGGAGGATGAAGATTGACATGAACAAGTTCAAATAAATCTGGGGCCTAATGTTGGGGATATACCCCACGGTGTGACCCGCCTAGGAGGAGCCAGGTTACAGTGTTGGCGACTCATAAGGGAAAGCCTAAGTAGGCCCAAGAAGATAAGATATGAAGACTGGAGGCGGCTTACGAGGCGGGCCTGTTGAAGGCCCAAGACCCAGAGATGATGCTGTAACCCGGAGTTGTGAGCCGCCCAATGGCGACTTGCCTAGCAAGGCAAGGCGACTTAGAACCCAAGTCGGTCACGTTATATGATCCGACCTGGACTTTTATAAGCCCAGAGGCTCGACCTATGTATATACAGGCAAGACCCTGCGGCGGGTAAACTCAAGTGGACAATCAATCGAGAGCTAGGTTAATCGATTTTGCTTCCTTGTAATCGATACTCAATCAATACAACACAAAGCAGGATTAGGCTTTTACCTCGTCGGTGAGGGGCCAAACCTGGGTAAACTCGTGTCTCTCGTCCCGCTCAACCCCTTTAAGCTAATCATCGTAGCCATGGTCTCTCACTTAAATCCTTTCACGAGGGCATCTGCCGTGACAAAACCACGACACGCTACAAATAGTATTATTCACTATTTGCAAGTTGTAGTATATACTTAAGAGTTACCAGACAAGGAGCACCTAGAATTTTAGATGCCACATCTGCGGTGCTACGTATTACTAAACTTGTTACCTGAACGCATCTCATGTATCATTCCTATGCATGTGATAATGCAGGGCTCTTGTTCACTAGTCGTACATGCATCATTCGTATTCGTCTACATGTATGTTGCATCGCCAGTAACACCTTCATATAACACATACACCCTCTGTCCCATAATATAAGAGACTCTTATATTATACGGAGGGAGTAGTTGGCAATAATATAACGGCGATTGAGCTTGCACTGGGGAGAGCCTTAACCAGCGACATGCCGCTCCACTTAATAGAGTAAGCGGAGTCAACACGGAGCGAGACTCAACCGTAGCAGCCCTAACGTGCGGGCACATGGACCTCTGCTGCCGGCCGGCCAAACTAATGGATGATTCAGCTGTGTATATTCCGGCAACGTGCCGGGCTCACCGCCGTCGCTCAGGTGTCCACATCTGGTACGAGAGTCAACCCTCAGTACATGTCAATATTGTCTCGATGGGCTTCTATTATTAAGGATAAAAGTCGGTACCTATCCTCTGTTGTTGACAAGATGAATTTCCAAATTCCCCACACACAAAAAAAGATGAAATGTCTAAATGGAATGATAAACTGAGAGCCGGGACTCAAATTCTCCCAACATAGGCCCCGCTTGGATTAGCGTTTATGCTCGTATATATTTCGCTAGTTTGAGATACGCGCCCCAACGAGTTGTTTTCTTTCTTGGCTGAAATCACGTGTTGACCAGTAATATATACCTGTAAAACAAATACCGACATACCCAAGCCTCTATTTCAGGCAAAGATTTGCTCTAAGGTTTAGCCACTTGTGTGAAAATGATGTATGGTGAATACCGCATGTGACACGTGCTATTTGTTTGGTACTTGGTGGTGTAGAACTGCTTTGTACATTTAAGATTTCGTTTCAAATTTTTTGAACTTGTGTGCTTAATTCTTGGGTGCGGTTGGGTGCGGTTAGCGATTTTGGGTGGCCTGGTCAACCTTGCATTTTGTCTGTAGATATTGTCGGGCGGTGGCCGTTTGGATCTGCATGCATGCATCATTAGGAGTTGGTTCTCAGTTTGGCTTTGTGCATGCATCGGTTGGGTAGACGGTTGTGAGTTTATTTTTGCCATGGTCTGTCTATTGCAAGTTTTCTTTTTGAGGATCTGTCTATTGCAAGTTTTGAAACATGATAGGTTGGGTGTTGCTGGTGCCATCTCGATAGTCCGATGGGGGGTACTTTCTGGAGTTTCCACCGGACTATAAATACAGGATTTCTTTTAAGGGCATGTACAATGATGCTATCTTAGGAGTGCCACGTAGCTTAGATGATGAGGTGGAGGAGAGAGAACTCCTAAGAAAAGGCTTGTCTTCTCTTATTTAAGAGAAGACAAGAGGTGATCTCTGAGCATAATGTGTCTCACCATATTTTTAGGAATTGCTAATTATTAAAGATAAGGCTAAGAGATGACCCATTGTAAACAAATTTTTTTGTCATATCTAAATCACATGGAAAACTTAAGATAAGACTATCTTATCAACCATTGTACATGCCCTAAGTTGCATTCGATTGCTAGCAGCATGCAATG